TTTTAGAATATGATTTATTTACATACATAACATTAGATTATTCAGGTAAATTGTATAATAAAACGCATAAATAAATAAATAAATAATTATATATATAAATATATATGTCAGATAGTGATAATGTGTCATTAAGTGAGTTGATAAAGAAGGTAAGTATGTTGAATAAGAATATCAAGGCATTAACAGATTTAACAAAAGCAATTGATGAAAAGTTGCAATCCAAAACAGCAGATAATGTTGATGAGAAGGAAAAGATTGATAAGATTTTTGAAAGCCGTGGACTGGGCAGGCCGAAGGGCGACCATCAAACAAAAAGACAATCTTATTTTGAAATGGTGTCAAAAGGGCGTATAAAGCAACCAAAAGAGCAGACATTGGAATACTACAAAATCACGAAAGATGAAGACGGTAAATATATTTTGTTAGACACTTAAAGACAAATGAATATTAAATAGTAGGTCAGTATTATGGTTTGCGAACACGGAAGAAGAACAGATAGATGTAGAGATTGTGGCACTGGAATTTGCGAACACAATAAATTGAAACGATATTGTAATGACTGCGGTGGAAGTCATATGTGTGAGCGTGAGAGGAGAAGAGACCGATGTAAAGAATGTGGAGGTAGTGGGATTTGCAAACATGGTAGAAGAAAAGATGGATGTAAAGAATGTGGAGGTAGTGGGATTTGCGAACACGGGAAACATAAGCATTTTTGTAAAGATTGTAACGGTAGTGGCATATGTAAGCATGGCAAGAATAAGAGCAAATGTCCAGACTGCGATGGAAATCAAATTTGTAAATCAAAGAACGAACCTTACGGTACAGGTTGTAGAACTCGTGGCAACAGAAAACTAAATGGATATTGTAGTCACTGTTTTGTAAATTTGTTTCCAGATGACCCAAAAGCATTGAATGTAAAGAAAAAATCAAAAGAAATACAAGTCATGACGCATATATTTTCAAAGTATGATGGGTTTAAGAATGACAAGCCTTTCTATGTTGATTTAGAAGGTGGATGCTGTGCTACAAAAAGAAGAATTGATTTAAGAAAATTGATTAATAATACAATGTTATGTATTGAGATTGATGAAAACCAACACAAATATTACGTAAAACAACATGAAGACGATAGATATTATGATTTATTTATGGATTTTTCTGGCAAATACATTTTTATTAGATACAACCCTGACAAATTTACACACACAAATATGAGCAATCAAAAAATCCTTTGTTTGAAACAAGAATGAACGTATTAGAAAAGTCCATCAATAAACACATTGAAAGAATAGAAAAAGGTGAAAACACAGAACTGGTAGAAATACACCGTTTGTTTTATGATGAATAATTACAAACCTAAATAATTCTAATAATATAAATTTATTAGAGTTATTTTCAGGCACCAAGTGGAAAGCGGGTAGAATGGGGTGAGGATTATGTAAAACATAAACAGGAAGACCTTTACAAAACCCCTAGTGAGTTGATTTGCGAGATTTTAGTTAATATCTTGGTTAATGGCTCAATTTGAAACGTATTAGGGCTCAATATGAAACGTATTAGGGTTCAATATGAAACGTATTAGGGTTCAATACGAAACGTATCAGGGCTCAATTTGAAACGTATTAGGGTTCAATACGAAACGTATTAGGGCTCAATTTGAAACGTATTAGGGCTCAATTTGAAACGTATTAGGGCTCAAATATGACATTTTCGGGGCTCAAATATGACATTTTCGGGGCTCAAATTTGACATTTTCGGGGCTCAAATTTGACATTTTCGGGGCTCAAATTTGACAGGTGAGAATTATGTAAAACATAAGCAGGAAGAACTTTACAAAATCCCGAGTGAGTTAGTCAGTGAGTTGTTGATGTTGCTTTGGAATGTTCTGTGTTCTGTTCCTTGTTTGGTTTTTTGGTTATGTTCTTTGTTGTTGGGGGGTTTTGGGTAAGGGTGGCTTACAACCTGTCCGAGTAAATATTTTGTCTTAAAATGGCTTAAAGGGTTGGTGGCTTATTATATTAGAAGATTATGGATAAGAAACATTGCTCGGGTTGTCAAAGAGATAAGAATTACAATTTATTTTCAAATAATTGTAAAACTTGTGATAAATGCCGTGAAAAGCAAACAAGGAAGTCGGAAATAAAGAAATTGAAAGGAGAAGCGATTAAGAAAGAAACAGTAGCAGATGAAGGAAAACAATACTGCTCACATTGTCAAGTTCATAGAAAAGTTGAATTATTTTCAGATAATCATAAAACTTGTGATAAGTGCCGAGAGAAAAGGGTAATATATCAAAAAACATACCGAGAAAACCATAAGGAAGAAATCAAAGAGAAAAACCGAATTTACAAACAAATTGAAGTTGATTGCGAGGTTTGTGGATGGAAAGTTAAAAAATGTAGGTGGCCAGAACATATTAAAACTGCGACACACAAATTCAATGAAGAGAAAATGAAGGATACAGAGGTTAATAAAACAGAAGTGGCGTGATGTTGAACAATACTTCATAATATGTCATTATATTATGATGTATTTTTTGTGAAATGGTATATGGTTAGAGTTTTGTTTGGGTATTTGGTATGTGTTGGGGGGCGGTTTTGATATGTGCCTTGGGCTGGACGGATGTTGCTTGGTTGTATGCCCCCCTCTTGCTATATTTGCCCGACGCGTAACCGGCGCACCCAGAAGCGCACCCGGCGCGTACCTGGCACCCGGCGTGCCCGGCGCACGCAGCGAGCCCCGGCGCTAACCGGCGCACCCGGCGCGTACCCGATCTGGAAGTCCCGCTTTCCCGCCGCTGGAAGAAGGGGAAGAAGGGAAAGAAGAAGCAGAAGAAGACGAAGAAGAAGAACAAGAAGAAGAAGAAGGAGGAAGAAGAAGAGGACACCATATAATGTTGCAACTTATAATGCTGATTCAGAATAGCCTCAGAATGCTTGGGGTTATCAATTGCAGGTGCAGGATGGCAGAGCCGCGTTCTCCCTTGCGGAGGCTGGATCATGCTTCTTCGACCATGCTCAACAAGCCACAGGTGCTCTGGCGAATGCCAGGCCTGTAGGAAGTTGTCATAGTGGAAGTCCGCCTTGCTTTGCTTTCTTTCAATCCTTCCTCTGACAGCAACCTTGGAAGCGCCACATTTCAGCAGACAACCTGGATGAACAACAAACCATTTTATTTTCTTGGGTCAGACCTTGCAACAATGCATCTATTCTGCCGCCAAACCTTGCTACCACTTTTTCGGTTCATGCATTTGTTGCGCCAAGAGAAACTTGCATGTCAGGCGTATGCAGGCAGTGCTATCACTGCTTCACTGCAGCGCATTGCAGTGAAGCCACAACAATGAACAGGCGGTAAACTGTACACGTGCAAGGTGCATCACACATATTCTAAGCTTCCACATTGGCATGGTGGCGTATCGTCGCAAACATGGCATTGTTTTGTGGGACAGTACGCAGTTGCCGGAAAGACATGGCTTGAGTTTGGATGTGGCCCCGTTGTGGCCATTTTGGTGCAGAGCATTTTGATTCGCCCGCTCACCCAGGTCCCTCAGGGGGTCAACCGTCTGGGTGCTGGTTGAAACAGCCAGTAACAGCGGCATTGAATCTGCCGACCAATTGCAAAGTTTATCCACCTTTGCTGCGCTGGAGGGCGGAGGGGTTGAACGGATTGGCCTTGTCGCAGTCTCTGCATTTGAGCCAGCCGCAGGTTTGGGTAGACCTAACCCTAGCAAGTCCTGAAGCTCCATGAGTCTGCCACGCAAGGTACAAGCGCGGCAACGAAATCCACGCTGAAATGCAGATCCTGTCCCGCTGCGCAAGGCCATGGTCTTGGTTCACCTTCAGATGGGAGATGGGTCTGATATTTCCTCCAGATGCACTTCAGATGCACTTCATACGCACTTGCAGTCGCTCGCAGTCGCTCGCAGTCGCTCGCAGGGCGGGAATTCCAACTACTGGATCCTGGATGTGTATTCAGATGGCTCCGTGCTGGGAGTGCTGCAAGGCCTGAGGGCATTTGAGTGCTTGCTGTTTGCCGGCCAGTGTTTGAGTGCTATGAGACATCAAGGGATAGGGGCTCAAACTAGGAGCATGGGGCGTACTGTCAATATTCAAGATCATCCACATTCTGAGGGGATAGCGTGGGATGAGGATGGATTCACCCACCGTAATTACAGGAACACGGGGTCACGATTAATATTGAGCCTGTCTTGTGTTGCACCGAGTGCAGGCCCTTGTGGCTGCCGGCATCGCTCGGGTGATATTTGAGTGCAGACCCCACCAGGACAGTGAAAAGCGGCTGCAATAGCATTGTGTCGCTGTTACGTGCCCGATACTGCATGACTTGGTCTTCTCGTATCAGAGGCAGAAGACAAGGCTAGAGCAGTGAAGAAATGGGGAAGGTGCGGCCCAGAGGTATTGGATAAAGACAGCTCCTTGTGGTCCTTGTGCTCGAGGCAAATGCTTGCCGCGGAGGCAGCTGGCATGAAGTGGACGGCCATCCCTAAAGATGTCCAACGCAAGGCAAGTGCTGAATGTAAAGGTCTGTTTACGCGTTGCTTATTGCACCGTCTGCACCAGTGTCAGGCATATGTCTCAAAGCTGTGGACGCAGTTCAAACTTCAGAGAGGCTTGAGAAGTGCTTGTAATGTAGACCGATGGCAGACTAGTCATTCAATGCAGCGATGCCAGGCCTGGATCGCGAAGCTGTAAAGGCTTTAGCTTCCGACAGCACTGCGTGAGGTAACCGAAAATGCTGCAGAGACGGAGGGCTAGCCATGGACACACGCGTGCAGCTGACTGTTTTCAAACTGAACCGCGCTGCAACAGTTCATTCTATGCTTTTTTCTGCCGTCTTCACTGCCGGCTCAAATCAGGATTGTTTGCTGGTTCCCATTGCTGATCTGAATCACATTCCATTGCATTGTTTCATACGCTGAATAGACATTTCGAAGCACTTTCAGTGTTGGCAGTCTGAGGAGTTGAACGAGCTAAGTGTCTGGTGAAGGACAATTCTTTTAGTTGCTCCACGCTGTGTGGAACAACATACTATATTGAGGGCAAATGGAACCTGCAGGCAGCCAGGCAGCTTTTGAATGGTGGGGCAGAAGGGTGAAATTCGGGGCTGCCCAGATTGAGATGGCAAGTGTAAGCTGCGTATAGCTGGCTTTGACTTTGGTGCAGCCTGCAGGCACCTTGGCTGGCTTTACATGATGCCACAGCTGC